TCGACTCTTCTTAAATAAAATTACAAGTTTGAGTTTTGTGAATGAAAAACAAGTGCTTGAAAAACTTCTTTTAATTGGTCTAACGCAACTCGATTCTAAATTAATCGGAACCAATATGGTTACTAAATACTAAAAAATTAATATCAAAATAATAATAATAATAATAATAATAATAATAATAATAATGTTCTCTATTGTTATTGCAGGGGGGGTTACATCAATGCCCGACTTCTTGGAAATTTTCTTCCCCGTGGTATATAATAGGACCCAGGAACCTGGAATTAATGCAAATTACTGCAAGTATGACAATCAAGGACTACAGTTGTTCACGTCGTCCCTGTATCTGGCCGGCTTGACTGCGACTTTCTTTGCTTCCTACACTACCAGGAAGCTTGGTCGTAGACTGACCATGTTGATTGCTGGTATCTTTTTCATAATCGGTGTGGTGCTCAATGCCGCTGCTCAAAACCTTGCCATGCTAATTATGGGCAGGATATTACTTGGCTGTGGAGTTGGTTTTGCCAATCAGGTAATTTTCAATATAATTGCTTTTTATTTTTTTGGTAAGCATACTCTGTATGTTTTAAACTATTTATCGTTATGGGACAAAATTAGTACTTTCGTAGGGGAAAAGGTAGTTCTAAAACCGCGTTATTTTGGCCGTTCTAAATTCCAGTTGCGCTATTAACATCATATCCTTTACAAAATAGTTGTTTAGTAACATTAGATAATGGTTCCAATTTCATACTTCTAGAATTTTTCAGTTTGATGACAGTATATAATGACACCTCACAACTGTAATATCACTTATTCAGATACTTTAGGTTGTTGATAATCAAAGAATAATAATAAATGAAATTAAAATTTAAAATTATTAGTGTTACATAAATTATTTTATTTAAACTATTAAAAAATAAATTTTATATTATTTAATATTTAACTCTTTTATTTTTTTTAAACTCATAATATTATACATATTAATTAATTTAATAACATAATTATTGATTTAAAATTTTCATCTTCCAATCATTATTCCTAGTCAAAACCTTGTTTGCGAAAATTCTTACCATTATTCACCTATCTGCTTTCCGCACGTAGAAGTTCTGCTTTGTTTGTTGGTAGGTTTACGACCCACATAGGTGGACCCGCCACACCTTTGGAACATATATAATACTCTGCACAATTTTTTCCTTGATCAACCAACAAATTGGTTATGGGAAAAACAAAAACCAACTATTGGTTGATTAAATAAAGAATTTCTTGTTTTGTAATTTGCCTGCAAAATATGAATTAGTGAATAAGATAGCAACTCTTGATATTATGAGCTAATTTTATCTAATAATTTATTTTATATAATAGAATAATTATTTTATAATTTACATCATGTAATTCAATGTTTATAGGATTAATCAGGCCAAAAACTTATATATTTATATTATCAATATATATAAGAAAATAGTGCATATTAACCTTACCTCTTAAAGATTAGGAGAAAAATTATCATAAAATTACTTTGTTTCAATAAATTTTTATTGAAAAAAACTAAATTATCATATTTTTAAAGCATGTCTTAAAGTGATTTTTGTCATTTTTTCTCTTAATTTTTTGAAAATAAAGCGAACAAACACTAATTTCTATATATAATATATATATATCTTCTTTTATCGATGACTTTGTCACCATTTTGTTTATATACTAAATTGCCAGCTAAGCTTTTTTTAATATCTAGGGGTTTGATCATTGAAGTTCATGCATGTGATTGTAAACTTTCACTTCAATGGCTTAAATATAATTAAAAAAGCATTATCACATGATATAGATCTTCAACTTGGAGTAATCTGGTGAAGGTCCAGAATCAAATTCCTCGTTTTTCCTCTTGCTTTCGGAATCATTTTGGATGGAAAAGTCTATTTAATTTCATTTTTTGTTTAATAATGTGATGTTCTCCCTTTCTTGTTCTAAGACTCGGATAGAAGTCTTTGTGACATGGACCTCTCTGAATAGTTTATCTTTTATTATTTAGACCTTCCAACTGCCCTTTAAATAAAAAGAAAAACGATTCTGATCTGTGCAATCCAAAATCAGTTTGTATTTGAAGTTTTAGGAGGGAACCTGGTTGGATTTAGTAATTAGGACACTTGTTTGAGGTCTAATTTTTGAAGATGTGATCTAGAATCTAAGAGACTGGTTGGTTAGATTCATAAATTCCCAAATATATAAATCACTTTTGCTTTCATGTCATTTCTTCTGACGTGGGATATACTTTAACCACTCACATCACATCTAAAACCCACACGTGAGTGTCTTAAGTTTTACATCGGCAAAACATGCAGAATAACCCCTCCACTCGTCGACTGGTGGCAAGTCATCCCCTCAACTTAGTTCATACGCAAACTAATCCCTCAACTCACTTGCAGTAGCAAATTAACTCCTCTGTTAAGCCTAACGTCATCAATCCCTTAAGTTTAAACGTTCCGCTCATCAACCCCTTATTTGCGTTTGACCTTGACTGTTTTTGTTGAGATGGATGCTTTGCTAGACCAATTTTCATCAAACTCAATAGATCAGATCAATTTACTTTTATGCCCTTAAATTGTTTGGTCAAATATAATTGCATGCTTTATGTAAAATATTAGAGAAGCTAATTCTTTACACATGAAAATCAAGATGATGAGAAAAAGATACAATAACATTTATATCACGCACTTCTTTATCATTTCCTTCAGTTCTTCAATCACAAACCATGCCTTGTGCCCTCCAATCACTTCTTCCTTCATCTCTCCATCTTTCCATAGCTGCAATAAATTTCTCCATCTTACTCTTACAATTTTTGCAAAACAAAACCAAAAGGATTCTATAGGCCTAGGAACTCCCTTGAATTGTTGGCATTTTCTGCTCAAGGAGACCCAGAAAACATCATTCAAAAGGGGGAAAAAAAAATCAATGTCAAGTATTCATCCAGAAGAAAGAAAAAAAAAAAAAAGAGATAAAAATGCAAGTCATACATACCGCAATGTTTCCTTTTTTCACCAGAGCTTGAGGGACCTTGTTGACATCCACATAATAAGATGAAAATAGATAGAGATTTCCATTCGAATTTTGAGTTATCTCACCCATTCTCGAAGCCGGCTGACAATTCCCAGGATGCAGACTTCAACCCCTTGTTTGCCGTCGGCACTTTCCACCCTCTGATCTCTCTCCTGTTGTTTCCTTTTTTGACTTCAATTTCTTCACCCATGATTTTCCTTCACTAAACCAAAAACAACCAGAACTCACTCTTGACTCATTCCATCCACCGATTCCGCTCACTTTTCCCAATTTGAAGATTGTCTTGCTGATTCAACTCAGTCACTCAACTTCTTTTCCAAGCCTTTAACCGGCTTTTGCTCACTCGAGAAAACCCAACCCTAACTCGATGCCTCTTCAAAGCATGCTCGGTTGGACTCCCCCATACTCTTCATGCCTTGCTCTACTCTTCCACACAAAATCTATCACAAATTCCCATTTAATTAGATACGATGCATACATACTACTACAAACTTCATTGGTAGCTTGAAGACGAAGATCAAATCTTCTATACTAGATGAATTGAACTTCAGATCAGAAATTGAAATCAAAAGCAAGAATCCGACAGGAAGACCTACTCTCGAAATTTAAAGAAGTATCGTCCAAAACCCTAATGAATTTGTACGATCTCTACACAAATTTGAAGAGACAAAGAGGGAGAGAGTTTTTGTGTTTGTGAGATGAGAGGGAGAAGCCAAGAAGGCATGAAGAAGACAATAAACGGCTGTAATCAAAAGAAAACCCTACATCCCCAATTATATTTGACCAAACAATTAAGGGCGTAAAAGTAAATAACAATATTAATCACAATTTTATCCAGCAAAGCATCCAACAAAGCATTCACCTCAGAAGAAAAAAAAAAAAAAAAAAAAAAAAAAAAAACCAGGTTAGACGCAGAGCAGGGCGATGATGAGCGAAATGTTGAGTTTTAATGGATGGATGACATCATGGCACACAGAGGGGCTGATTTGCCACCGAAAATGAGTTGTGGGGTTCATTTGCGCGTGAACTGAGTTAAATGGGTGATTTGTCACCACTCAATGAGTTGAAAGGTTAATATGCATTTTTTGCCTTTTAGAAAATTGTGATAAGAATAAAATAAATGTACATGTTCACTCATGAATTTAATAAATTAGTTTTTTAGATTTAAGATGACATCAAATATTAGTGAATGTAATATTTTCCCTTTGTAAAAGTATAATATTAATATATATCTTATATATTGGATGCAAGTTTTATTAAGATTAATGATGTTTTGAATTTTGAAATTGTAAAATTTCTTTTGGTTTCTAAGTTGGTTGGTATTGCAAAATGAATGTGCACAACAGGGAGTGCCATTGTTCCTATCAGAGATAGCACCCACAAAGATTCGTGGAGGACTAAATATACTGTTCCAGCTTAACGTTACCATTGGCATTCTCTTTGCAGAACTTGTCAACTACGGCACCGCTAAGTACGCCCCCTTCTCCCTATTAATTCATCATCTTTATTTTTTCTTTATTATAGATTTTCAATTCATTTGAAGTGAGAAGGTAGAAAAGCCGGTGTAATGAAATCTTTGAATCTGGCATCATGCTTAACCTAAGATTCAAGATTTTTTTTTTTTTGGGTACAAGATTCAAGATTTAATTGATAATAAATAATGTTTTCGTTGAAACTTATAAGCCAGTATGAGGTATGCTGGCCCTTCAATAGTGGAAAGAAAAGAAAATTTCTATTCAAGTTGTTACAAGAGTCAATAATTGAGTGCTAATCAAACGAGTAAAAATATTGGTGTTCATTATTATGCTTTGTCTTGCAACAACAGAATTGAAGGAGGATGGGGCTGGAGGCTATCATTGGGACTGGCAGGCATCCCGGCTAGCCTCCTAACCTTGGGAGCCCTCCTGGTTGTAGATACCCCTAACAGCCTCATTGAACGTGGTCACCTGGAAGAAGGAAAGGCCGTGCTCAGAAGGATTCGGGGCACAGACAAGATTGAAGCCGAGTTCCTGGAGCTTGTTGAGGCAAGTCGAGTCGCGAAACAAGTCAAACACCCTTTCAGAAACATCATCCAACGCAGGAATCGTCCCCAACTTGTCATTGCAGTTGCTTTACAGGTTATTATTTTTCATGATTTTTACTCCAATTATTACCAAAAAAAGTAAATTGGCGGTTGTTTATGTTGAAATAGTTTGGAATTGGAGCAGATGTTCCAGCAATTCACTGGCATCAATGCAATTATGTTTTATGCTCCTGTCCTGTTCGACACATTGGGATTTGGCAATGATGCTGCCCTTTACTCCGCTGTCATAACAGGAGCAGTCATTGTTTTCGGCAGCATTGTGTCCATCTACTCTGTTGATAAGGTTGGCCGTCGTGTGCTGCTCCTTGAAGCTGGTGTCCAGATGTTTTTCTCTCAATTGGTTATAGGAATAATCCTGGGAATCAAGGTTAAAGATCACTCAGAAAGTCTCAGCAAAGGTTTTGCAATCTTAGTCGTTATACTGGTGTGCACTTTCGTTTCTTCTTTTGGATGGTCATGGGGACCTCTAGGCTGGCTGATCCCCAGTGAAACTTTCCCTCTGGAGACTCGCTCGGCTGGCCAGAGTGTAACCGTCTGTGTCAACCTGCTATTCACTTTCATCATTGCTCAATCTTTCCTCTCCATGCTCTGTCATTTGAAGTATGGCATCTTCTTGTTCTTCTCCGGATGGGTTCTGATCATGTCCATCTTTACCCTGTTTCTTCTCCCAGAAACTAAAAATGTTCCTATTGAAGAGATGACAGAGAGGGTCTGGAAGAAACATTGGTTCTGGAAGAGATTCATGGGTGATGGTGAGGACGGAGTAGTAACCTTTACCAATGGTACTGATGACTCGGAGAAAAAGGGCTATTCTAATGGATTTGATCCAGCTTCTCAGTTGTAAATTTCATGGTTTTTAGTGTCATGTTGGCAGTATTCGAATCAGAACATGAATACACTGAAGACAGGTAGAACCGTACGAGAGAGGGATATTGTGTCAATCATTTGGAAACATAAAATAAATAAATGCTTAGTATTTATTTATTTAGGTGACTCCTAGCAGTAATCTTTTGTAACTGATTTCTATACTAAGTTTGACAAATATAGAATTAGAATCACATCTCTAACGTTCAATAAAACAAAAATAATTATTTTTTATTGTTACAATCTAAAATTGAAAAAATTTTTATATTGCATCTGGGCGCGAATCTAAAAATGTTTCCAAAACCCACTTTCATTTGCTGAGAGCCCTAAAATCACAATTATTTAAAACTTATTCCGTTAACAAAGTTATTCTATCAATGGGATTTTGGATTATTTAGAACTAATATGACGATGAATAATAACTTTTTTTTATTAATTATATAAATAATTGATTTTCCTCATGTTAGTGACACAAGACGAGCTCGCTCTCCTCCATGCTCTGTTATTTTTTTTTTTGAACAGTTTTTGTCATGGAGTGGGTTTGAAACCCGTCCAGAAGAAGGGAATGTGCACTTTTCAGTGGCTCTAGTCACTGGACCACACGGGCCAAGTGCCTCCATGCTCTGTTATTAAAATAAAAATTGGGAGAGAAAAACATAATAATTATTTAAATTTAAATCGCTAGATCCAACTTTGTGCTTGGGTAAGGGACAAGGGGACCAAATGCTTTATTTTATTTAAAGCATAAAAAATTCTTTTATTATTTTTTTAATCGAATCAATTAGTGTATAATACAGTTAGTACTGTGCGAGCAATATGATTAAATGCAATATATATATCTGTATAGTGTTTCTATCTTTGGTAATTATCAAATCCAACAACTTGGGTCATCAATCATCATCTCTTCCCTTATTTAAGTGGAAATTAGGAAACCTAAAAAAAAAAAAAAATCAAGTTACATGCTAAAAAATGACAAATGAAATATCGAAGTTGAAGCTTTATTTATGGGTTCCCTTAATCCTTTTATGCAAATTAGCCAGAAAATGGATTTGTATTTCTTTTTTCTTTTTTTTAAAGAGTAATAAAAAAAAGAACATATTTTATTAAATAAAAGGAGTACGTATTTTTTAGGTCAAAAGAAATTAACCATAATGAGAAGCCCTAGTGCCAGAAGTGGACGCACCCTCTTTTATAAATGGCATTCTTACATTGGAATGTGGGGTTTGAATTCCACCACCCTACTACCCCATGTTCACCCAAAAACCAAGAAAGAAAAGAAAAGAAAAATGTTATTGCTCCCAATTCGGTTGTGACAAACAGGGTTCTCAGATCAAGTCTATAGGAACTCACAAATAATATCTAATATTTATATGCCAAACATTGTATTCAACTCAAAAGCTCAAGGAGTGTTTCAATTAGTAAAAATTTAAAACTCTAATTTAAGATTTTATATTTGAACTTTGAGATTAATGGGGGATTTTCATAAAGGGAAGGTTAATTTCTGTTGTATATGGTCCATTATTATTATGTACCAAAAAAATGCATAAATGGGCTTTGGGCTGAGATGTGGCTATTTAACATTAGGCCTATTGGGGGAAAATGCAAGAGTGAGACTGATAGAGCCCAGTTTCATAGCCCAATCTCTTCCCTAATTCAACAGTTGGCTC